AATTTGAACTTCAAATATTTATTTGTGCCAGAGTTGCTAAAAGTGTTTGGCTTTGTATTATTCTTCGTATTGGAAGCTATACATTTCAATGTAAGGAAGAGGAGTGTTGGATATAGTAATTAGACAGCTGAAAATCAAGGTTGACAGATGATAGTCATTCTCCCATTTACTTGCCACTAATTAAAGTAAATAGTTCAAACTCTTTTCACCTATCCATTTGCCTGGTTTAGTCATGAATTTTCACTCACAGTAAACCTAGGAGGAAGACCATGCACTTTTTTTCTAAGTACCTTTAAAATTGTTAGTGTAGCATGAGCATGGGAGGAAAGTCCCTTTGTATGCATAAATTTATTCCACATCTGCAAACACACTCATCCTCCAGCTAAGCACAAAGATTCTGCTGACATACATAGAGTTAGGTGGTTGCTCGGAGGGCAAGGTCTGGAATTATTTACAGTCTTTTGATGACACCACGATGGTTATAGAAAAGCAGGAGGGGAGAACCTGTAGCCTTTCATTGTTGATCACGTTGTGTTTTGGGTTCAGGTCTTTTCTTTTTTCTTTTTTTTTTTTTTTTTGAGGGAGAACAGTCAGAGAAGTCTCTCTCCATTAGTTGCTGTGAAACTAGAACAAGTGATGACGAGAAAAAGGAAAAAAATGGTCTCTTTGTGCCAACTTGGTCATTACTGGATGCTGCTCAATAAAGAGCAATGCCTCAACATTTGGCATTTCAATGAATAGTAAATGCTTGAGACACAATGGTGTTTCAGTTATTTTTTTAAATGTAGTCATTTGGGTTATGAATATTCTTTTTTTTTTCTTCTCCCCCTCTTTTAGCTCTTTTATGACATTATTTAGTGACCTATTCAAACACTGGAGTGCCCCAAAATGGTTCTGCTTGTCTGTGGCTGTATTCTGAAGATTATTGTTCACTCTTTTTCAGTAATCTAGTAGTAGTTTCAGAGGAAAAAATCTTAGTTTGTTGTTTTTTTCTTTTTTTTGGGAGGTGATGTTTGTTTTTTAAAAAATCACAGTTTGGAGAAGAGATGTTCCAGAAGAGGATAAGAAATAGTTGGCTAAATGGATGATTGGTTGACAGAGAGACTGAATCTCACTTTGTTTTTTAAGTAAGTACCTCAGACATGAAATTCACTCCAAACTGAGTCCAGCGTTTTAGATAGACTGAAGGAGAAAGAATAGATCAAAAGACATTCAGTTTTCTTTCCGTCTTTTGAGCAAAACTTGGTCAAATTCCACCCGGAGATTGTAGTGTCATGCACAGCCTAATCAGCTTTCAGCATCACTGCCAAGGAAATCAAAACAATCCTCATTCATTGCCACCACAGAAAGTATGAAGACATAGATAAGGAAAGGATTTAAACTGTAAATTTCTACATTCAGCATCATCTTCTCTCAAAGCATCTTTGCTAGACAAAAAACCACAAGAATTACACTTGTTGATACTTTTGGGAAGCTGGAAGAAATCCGTTTAAATAATAGGAATGAGATGTTCACAAGATATCCAGGCAAAGTTTTCTTATTTTACTGTTATTTCAAAGACAGAATTCCAAGTAATCCAGGGTGAAGTAAACCCCAAGTCTTCAATTAGAAAAACAAGACCTAGAACTCTTATGGGATGAAAATCTCCAAAAAGGTTGAAGTAGCTTTCCTTTCATCTGAGCCAGCATCTTTTAAAGACAAACACTATGATAATTCCTGATATTTTGGCATTTCAGGACAGTTACAAAAATCTGCTATTTTAAGCTTCCTGACAAAAGACCTTTGTTTTGTTATGTTTCTGGGTGCCATCCCATGAACTAGTGGGACAGTAAGTGCTTTGTCCTAATGCATTTTTGAGATCAAGCAAGGTCTTGCAGGTGTGATTGACCTGTAGTTTCTATTGTGTCACTCGGGCAATTTCCTGCTTAAGTAAAGGCTGTAGACTATGGTTAGCAATTACTTACTGTCTTTCTTTTTTATTAGAAACTATCCAATGCAAATTCAATTAGAGGCAAGTTATGTTTATTTAGGTTCATGTTTTATACAAGTTAAGTGTATTATGGATTATCACGTATGCTGTTTGCATGTCCAGCCTCTTGCAAAATTCAATATTCTGACATAAACCTTAGTTTCAACAGAGCATTAACCCATCATTGGAATCATTTTTCCTGTGTTATTTTGTGTTAAGAATTTGGTGACCTGGAGGCAGTAATATTTAATGGCTGATCTGCCATCTTCATGCTTTCATTACACTGAGCGAAACAGTGCAAAACTGACAAAGGAAGGAAAATTTGGAACTTGCATGTGTAGAGTGACGATTTTTCATTCCCTGTTTTCCTAAAAAGATATAATCAAGTGCTTTTTTTCTATAGCTAAGAAGACCACCTTAGAAAGTTGGAATAGAAAGAAACATGCATATATATAAATGACAGTACTTCAGCAGCCTGAGGTTTACTTTAACATTGTGTCCAGGGTTACATCCTTACTTAATTTAGGTAGCACTCTTCTTCCAAATGTATTCCAAAGTAAGATCTTTTATCACAAGAGATTATTTTTATTGATAACAAAAAATGAATGAGGTAAAGTTGTCACAAAAAAAAAGTTCTGATGGAGCAGGATGATAGTGCAAGTCTCTCCAGTCAACCAAATAGGAAGAACATAGCAAATTTCTCTGTGTGTTCTAGCAGTTATTTCCTGCTTAGGTTAATATCTTGTAAAGTCCAGTATTATGAAAGAGGATTAAAATCTTGTTTGTAATGAATTTTTGCTCCATTTGCTTTGGAGTTCTTTCACTTAATCTGACATTTTACAGCACTGCCCTATTATTTGTGGAATCTGAAAATTCAAGAGCAAAGAGGCTTGCTGTTTGACGTGGGAGAAACAGGGTGATTTTGGTCTGTTATGGCCCTTACATGATACTTAAAAAACAGAAGAATCTGCATTCGCAGAAGTCTTTGTTGATTTTTAATAATAGTTGAATGAAAAATTAATTATTTTGTACAAGGCTTAAATTATTTTTAAATACTGTACGTAGGTATGTATGTAAAATAAACTTATTTTGAACTAAAGCTGCTGTTGTACAAATTACTGAGTGTACTGAAGGTCTTTAGAGTATAAGAAAACTAAAATTCTGTCATCATTTAAACCATATTTCCATTGTTAGCTTAAAAACAACCTTTTAAATATTCATTAGCTAGCGATTTGAAGTTTTTTTTGCAGTATTTTATAGGAGCAAGAGGATTTATACACCTTTTTGTTACCTTTCTTCAGTGAAGACATAGTAAGACAGCAGGACATTGATTTACACGAAAAGCAATGTGAACAAATGTTGTAGTAACATACTGTATTTATGAAATGAAAGGACTAAGTCCTACAGGGTGCTGCAGTATCTACAGTCTTCCTGAATCCACCTAATCGGATTTGGCTCTGTTCATTCGGAGAGTTAACTGACTTCTGTTTCATTTTTTTCAAGACAGGCATTTTCCCCTCACTTCATCAGATTAAAAGGATGAGATAGCAGCCTTTCTGAATGAGGGGTGGTTGTGTTGACCCAGAGCAGCGGGTCGTGCAAGCCTGAGCAACATGTTGTCCTTGTTTCTGCAGCTTCTCGGCCTGTGGACCGCAAGCTGTGCACAGGACCTCTGCCCAGCACCAGTCAGCTGTGCCACATCCCCTGCCCCATAGAGTGCGAGACCTCGGCGTGGTCAGCCTGGGGACCGTGCACCTATGAAAGCTGTGAGGACACGCAGGCCAAGAAGGGTAGGTAGCAATTTAGAGGTGTTTTTGAATGGTTATTTCATAAACCAAAGTCTCTAGGCACTGCCAGCTGTGCAGTGCTAGTATTTGTACCAAGAAGGATACATCCAAAGCCTCTGAACATCATTAGAGTATTCAGATAAGAACTAAATTGTTCATTACTTCTTCATCAAAGCTGGCAAAGCATAGTCTATTTACTGAGCTGTGAAGGGCAATTTGGTCAATTAAAGGTCAATTCCAATTTTAAACCTTTCTTTCAAATCAAAAGAGGTCAATTTGTAAGCATCTTCAGATCATGCTTCTGATCCCGTCTCAGAAGAACAGAAGCAACCTCTGAGGTGGATAGCAACCACATCACTTAGAGACTTCCAGTTCAGTGATGCTTTTAGGAATTCACTAGTACACCGTAAACCTGGAATCACTGACTGTTAATAAACAACACTGTTTTACAGATAATATATGTGCTAGTTTCAATTTTCTCATTTTTTGTTCTGCATATTCCTATGCAGAACAGATTGTAACAATCTGACACCAAATTGACAAGGCAAGAATAAAGTGACAAGGACCACATGTAAGAAGTCTGCAGGTTTCTGGCCACAAATGAGAAAAATTGGTCTGGTCATTGCTGCAGTGTGATTCTCTGACACTAGTTGAAAATCCTGACGTGGTTCCTTGATTGAAAATGCTCATAGGAAAGAGCAGCCACATATGTCCACTTCAAGGACCAGCTGTAATTATCAAGTTCGTTCAGCCTCTTTTTCCTGGTATACTGGTAGCCACAATTCAGTCTGTACAGCAATACCAGAGGCTTTATGATGCTGTCACAGTGATGTGACTCAACCTTGATCAAGTTTCTTCTAAGTACAGTGCTCGGGTAACATGTTATTTCCATAGCTATCACTGAAAGATTTGCCACATTTTCAGGGGTAATTTGTGTTTGTGAGATCCATTTGGACACCTGCCTAAGGGAAATGTATTGGGATGTACATTATGCAAGTCTTCTAATCCTGTAGACGTATGCAGAGAAAGTTCTTTAATTTTAATTTTTCAGATTCTTACAATAAAGTGTCAGTGTCGGAGCAGAGCTGAAGGAGAGGAAGCCTGCTAAAGGTGCACAGAGGTTCCCTATATAGCAGGAGATAAAGTTTTTCCTTTGATCATAACAGCCAAACTGACTGTTAGGGGAAATACCTGGTAGCTTCATAAGCTTTAATATGCATATAAATGTCATAATACAGTACATTTTGCATGAGATTATTACATTTACCCTTGGTTTATGTATTCTGAGCTGCATTTTGTTCCATGCTTTTGGTGTTTCAGCTGCATTATAATTGTAGCATTATTCTTGAGACTTACTGGTGCTGTGTACTCTGCTGGCCAGTTAACTAAGTGGGCGTATTCTTTGCCCACATTTGTATGTGAATGTCTATCAGGCCTCCTTCATCCGTGTTTTGGTTTCCTTTAGATGGAAAACACAGCTGGATGAGTAGATATAAAGCTGCACTGTGCTTTTGTCAGATTACTGTTAGGAGATGCAGCAGGAGGAATTTGTCCTTTTGGTGTGCCCTAATATCTGAGACACATATTGGATTCAAACATGAACTGTGGAGGTGCTACCTAGTTGGTTCTGGTGCAGATAAGGATGAAATAGAGATGGTTTGGTGAGATTCAAAAGCTGAAATATGAAAGAAAAATATTTTAGATAAGTTTTACTGCTTCTGTTCAGCTCTGATTTCATGAGCTTTTAATATGCAACCCACCATGATAGGTTTACCAATTTAACCTCTTCAATACTCATGAAACAGACAAGCTGCAGAAAGTGTGAGCTGATGTATATTTCTGTTATAAAATGATATCCAGTACAGGGTATTTCTCAGTATTTCTTTTTATCTGTCTTCATGTAATTTATTCTCTTTATTCCTTATAGTTAGTTTTATAGTCACTATATAGTTATCACCAGCTGTACAGTATTTTCAGTGGCCACATAAAACCAACTTTCTCCTTTCTCTTGCTTTTCTCTGGTTAATCTCCTATGTGGCTACACAGGAGATCCAGGATGTGCCTGGATCTTCCACTTAAAATCACTTTTTGTTTTAACAGAAAGATAACAGTGTTATGTATGATGCCAACCAGAAGTTTTTTAAAAATATGCTCCTTTCTGTCTCTTCCTCTTACACTAACTGGAGGTTTATAGACTACCTCAATTTGGGATAAGGCAAAAGTGCCTGAGAGGAAGCTGAAAAATGGAAAGTTTTTACTTTGTGAACTGTGTGAATACATCGGTTCCTGTCTGACAGTTCCTCGTCTTCTGTTTTCCTTCAGAAGACTTTATAAAACACTTTGCCTGTGCTGTTTGAAATCTCTGTTGTTGTGAATATGATTTTGAAACAAAAAAAAATGCCACAAATGGCAGCCTTTTCTTATTCTTCTTTCATGCGCTTTTCGTCTCAACTTTATTCTTTATGTTTTTTGTATTAAAAAAAAAAATCTGTGCTCTGCCTTTCTATTCTGTAAGCACGTTTACACTTTTCAGCCTCTTTCTTCTTTGTGTTTGTGTTTGACCTATTATTTTACATCTACCCTGATTTTCTGATTTTGATAAACCAGATTTGCCTGTCTTTCATTCTTCATCCCTTGCAGATTTCAGGTTTCAGGGTTTTTTTTCCCTCACCTGCCAGTGTTTTTTTCACATAGTTTTTGTATTTTAGCTTATAATTTCACAGGTATCTGAGAAAAGATACCTGACCAATGGCAACCCAGAAATCTCATCAACGGTTCGTTAGATGAGATGGATGGAGCGAGAGCAAAATGCAGCAGTGAGTACCCTTTTCCACAGAGGACATGTGATTTGGACAAACAGGGGACACAGCTTATTGAGTAAATTCGTTATTTCTAAAGCCCTCACTTGAGTTTTACTGTTCTGCTCTGGTTAATGAGTTATTCTAGGTAATTATATGAAAAAGGCAGTGTTGCATTGAGTGTTTGTGTGTGTTTGACTCATCAGAAGCAGAGCTGTCCATTCCGGTGTAGACAGATAAATATCATTTCACCAAGCATTTTAGGACCGACTCGTTCAACAATTTATGTTTTCACGGACTCTCCAGGTTTTAAGCTGCGGAAGCGGCGCGTCACGAATGAGCCGACCGGAGGGACGGGCAGCTGCCCCCACCTGCTGGAGGCCATCCCATGCGAGGAGCCCTCGTGCTACGAGTGGCGCGTCGTGGGGCTGGAGCCGTGCCTTCCCGACAACGACAAGGCCTGCGGGCCCGGCACCCAAGTGCCCCTCGTTGTCTGCCTCAACAGCGACGGTAAGTGCTTTTTTCCACCTGCTTTGGAGACTACAGCAGAGAGGTAGTTGCAAAAGGTGAAGTTTTTGTTATTTTCAGGCTTTTCCAATCCTTCAGTCAAAGCCTTGTGGAGTAGAAATAGCTCTGTTAGGGACAGTTAGGTGCGACGGGCCTACTAGTTGCTGTAGCATCACATGCTGTTGGCCCTGCCCTCCATAGGATCTAGGAATCACCTTGATAAGAATAAACAGCTATTTTTTTTCAGTAGGTCAGACTCGTGCCTGCAATGGCTTCACTGAATTTCCTGATGTAATCCCACTAACAAACCTGAGCTGCTAAGTCAAAAAGCAGAAAAAGTGTGAGGAAAGTAAAGCATGCTATGGTTCAGAATAGCTGGAAGAAAAATAATAATGCATTTATTAAAAAGCATATTTTGATGCATGTTACAAGGTTGGTTTGACAGTTCAGACTGTCTTGTTTGTTTAGAGGTCAAGAACACGACCACCATTATGCCATCTTTTATGAAAAATAATAATAATTTAAAAGAGATTTTGCATAATATTGTCATAGCAGCCAATTTTGAAAGCTGCTTACAAAATACTTTTTTCTGTACAAGAGCCATGAATTATTTTGGGAAAAATATTCCTTCTTCATTGATAGTATAGTCTATTTAGAACACAGCATACATATTAAAATAATTGCACTGACTACAGTGTAGTTGTGGTAAGAGACCTGTAACTCGCTCTGCAGAATTAAATAAGGGAACACCTCTGGTGCATGTTTGACTTCTGCACAAAATATATTGTAATTGTATTGCTCCAAAGGAGTGAGATTTGCTTTTAGAGACTTTGAACCTTGAGCTGTCATGCTCAAGAATTTGAGTGATAACTGAGTTTGAGGGTTTAGATTTAAAACCTTAGAACTAGAGTGTAAGCTTTATTTTTCTGCAGATACCTAAGAGAATTGGTAACAGTTTTTACAGCTCAGAAAGAGATTACCCTAGAATGCCCATATTGAATGTGTTACATTTTATGTCCCTTGTGCAGCAGATATCCATTCACATGGTGTAATCCTTTCTTGTCAGTAATACTGAAAATATTGGAATTTTTTTTTAATATATATATACATTTCAGATGAAAAAATGGCCTTTTCCTTCTAAGTGAAAGTGTTTCCCATTTTTTTTAATATGAAACAGAATCTGTAAAAAAAAATATGCTTACTTTTTAGCTTAACTAGCTTTTGGATGGTTCAGTTTTCCTACTGTTTGTGTGATGTTGTTTACTTACATATGTCATTTCTTATTGCATAGTAATATAGATATTTATGCGTGTTATAATTTATAGTAGCTAGAATTTATTGTAGTCAATCTATGATTTATTGTAATCATTTGTTGTGATGGATATTGTAGTTCTCTGTTATTCTACTTAAGAGTTACAAGATTCGCTGCTTGCGCTAAGGCATCAGGCAAGCTAAGTGCACACTCTTCCCACATGGGTCCCTCTGTCCTTCTCCCATCCTGGCACATATATCCCATTTCACAAAACACTCTAGTGGCAGATAACAAATTCTGGTCCACAAAGTCAAGCAGAGCATTTCCTTGCAGTCTGTTGGGTTTTGCGTCGATCCTCATGAGCAAGGTGGCCTGGCATGAAATAATGATATGTTGCTATGGTTTTGATCTAAGTAAGTGGCACGTGGTGAATTTTGTGCAG